CACACACACACACACACACACACACCCCACTCCCTGCGCCACCCCTCTCAAACATGACATTCACACATTTTTGCTTTGAAGATGTTTATAGAGAGTTTGTGGGGAATAAGCGAGCTGCGTTTTCTGTAAMCAGTCCTAAACAGAAACTCCAGATCATCCTTGAGATTATCTCCACCTGCTCCTACACCAGTCAAAGAAAACTAATGAAATACAGTTGCTGAGATCTGTTTTAGGCAATTTATTAGATTAAATGCTATCTTTCTTTCCAACCCGTTTTTTGGTGTAGTTTTTTTAGTTTTAAAGTGGACAGATTGTTCAAAATCCACTTTTTTAGCCATTAAATGCATTTGTTTTGTGTCGGGAGTCTCTAGGAGTGCAGAAAAGGCTGTCTAATCTAATCCTCTTCTTGTTGTGTTTGTATTTCACACTGTGTTCAAGCTTTCTGTGCATGCGCTGTGCCTTGTTTCCTGTTTGGTATTTGGTGAACATCAGGGTTATTCAACTGACGGCCCGCAGGCCACATCCGGCTCATGAGTGACCAAAGTTCGGCCCGCCAATAGCCTAYATGCCACGGTCATTAAYGACATATTTCCGGTAAAATTCTTGCCACGCTTGTCCCTTCCACTTCCTGCTTACTGCCTTTGTTTTTAGCGTGAGCTCCTAATACTACTCCGTGAAAAAGTCACAAAAGTTAAAGCATCTGTGAGCTACTGGTATAAAACGTGAGTTCTGTTGTGTGCCGTTGTGTCCACTAACCAGCAGGTACGATCGAGTAGTTAGTTTTTATCCTTTTTCCTCTTGATGAGGAGGAAAGCTGGTGACAGCTATGGATCATAGCATTACAGGGAAAACTTAGCTCATGCTTGCGTTTGTAATCAGCATTTCTAACCTGAGGATATTCAAGAGTCAGCATCAGAAATGAGAAGACGGAGGTTACAAATGGGAAGTGTACAATTATCCCTCTTTGCTGCCAAGACCGGGAGAGGAAAGACCACCCCCACACGACAGCTAGGAGGAAGCTAACACACAGCAGCCGGTACAGGTAGGTGTGTGTGCGTGCGCGCGTTTGTGTTATACAGAGTATGAAATGTTTTTAGGCAACTTTGTCATAGTTTTATGCAAAAGTAAAAACTTGTTACAGTGTATATTACAGCGTAAACAAAACACAAGCGACGAGCCCCCCCTCCCCCCGAGCACCGAGAGCAGCAGAACCTCCGCCTGATAATCATTACGTTTTCAGTTCACTAACGTCGGAGAAAACGATCCAAATACAAGTAGCCCATCAATTTAAAGCCCAGACTCTGCTTTTTCCAATAATATAAGTGTCACAGCTCTACGTGAAAAATTCACAGAAAAGCAGCCAAGGAATAGTGAAAAAGGCTAAATTCTGGAACCAAACGTCTTTCCTTTGTTTTTATGGCTTTAATCCACTTTGGAGTGATTTTTTTTCCACTTGGCTGGACCTATACGTCTCCTGTGTTTATGTTGGTACATGCAATATGTTAATTCTGTACTGAGGAGATCATTAAAAGTTGTTGTTGGGTGAAAAAATCTTTTGCTAACACTGTGTTGACCGCGAACCAGAAGTGATCGGAGTGGCCCCCAAGTGCTGGACCGGATGTCCGTGGCATATAGGCTATTGGTTCATTCATCTCTTAAGTCCAAAGCCCCAGTTTTCTACTGTATGGTGTCTACAGAAATGTTGGAATCTTGGCTATAAGCTGGTAAAAACCATTTCAATGAACACAAYGCAATTGAAATCACAAACAGAGGAAAATAAAACTATGAAAGTGAAAATGAAATTGGTTTAAAGATGTCAAAATATTATTCGTGGTAAATATGAGGCATGACGTGTTCTTTTTGTTTTTGATATTGTTTAATTATCACTACTTTTATAGGTTTCTGAATGTTGTATTTATTAATAAATACAGCAAAATAAACAATTTCAAAGGTAACAGATCTTTGCAATACTTGGTTTATTTACATAAAGACTAATTGCTGTATGTTTGGCCCCTGAGCTGTTGGCCTGCAGTAACTGTGGCCCCCGGAGCAATTAGGTTTAGTTGGATGCCAAAAAAGAAAAAAAAAGACACATTTAGGTCTCATAAAGTTTAAATCTTTAAATTTTGCTATTTATGTGTGGATGAAATCCTTTCTTGAGATGATGCAATGTTTACAAGACTATTTTTAAAGACAACAATTAAAACGATTGCTTAGAAAAAGTTGCATTGAGTTAAGTGACACCAACCTGCCTCTACACTGAAATAATTCATGCATGGGTGACCAATTTTGGTCCTTGAGGGCTGTTATCCTACATATTTTACTTTCTCCTTGCTCCAGTRCACCTGATTTAGTAAGTGAATTACCTTTTCAGRTTCTACAGAAACTTCTAAAASATGCAGGATAGTGGCCCTCGAGGACCAGGATTGGACATCCATGCATTAATGAGCTAATTTTCCCGGGAAGTGGGCAGCCCAGTTTGTGACCAATCAAGAAGGATTTGTCTTTTTGGTCATATCCCTGAAATATTTTGTGGAAAAGAGCATAATTCTGACTTAATTAACAAGCTTACACAAAACTGAAATGCTGTCGTCCTAAAACAACTCTCAAAAGTTTTATGGTGATTCATGCGAATACTATTTTGTGACTGGTTACATTACAGTCAAGTTTGTATTGCACTGTTATTCTAGCAAAAATATATTATTATCTTCCTGTTGAATGTGCCTCAGGCTGCCCGGGAAAGGCTACAACTTGCTGCTGCTTCTATTGGTACTTGCAAAAGAAATAGAACTCATCACTGCTGTTAGTTAAGGTCAGCAAGCTGTGGCGGCCATCTTGAATTAAGCTGACTCCGAAGGTTAGTTAGTTAAATTTTCATTACAATTCAGTGGTTCATGAGATATTTTTGAAACACACACACAAACACTTACGTTGTCACTCTTTTTTCATGGCAGAGGGTGAAACTGTATTACTACATTTTATGTGTAAACTGCATGAAACATTTTCCAGATAACTAGCAGCTCAGAGTGAAGCAGCAGCAGACTGGAACCGTGGGAAGCGAGCAGAGATACTTGTTACATTTGTGGCCGACCAACACAGTTGCGAGGGCAACTGGCGGTGAGATGTATCGAATAACAGGAAGGGATGGGGTTGATAAGGACAAACCTGCTGTTAGGATGTGTTGAGAATGCTCAATTCAAAAGTCATCTCTGTTTGCCATGGGAGGCTGCCCAGAAGGCCTCACAGTTGATCTACTGTTGTGGAAGCAGCTGTGATAAGCTGTATCCAAAACATGTTTCCTTCCGCTCCACTGGGGCCTSTGTCCTTGTTCACAGTCAAATGGGCACTTTAGTCAGAATGCAACGATTTAAACCAAACGACACAGATTCCATTCCAGTGATGTGTGAAAGAAAAGAGTCTGACATTTTGAAAGATTATAGATGAATGAAAGAGGCTAAAAGATGTTTTATTGATCTGTGATGTGTCTTAAAGCAAAGCATGTTTGAAGATTGATTCTGAAATAAGAACAACTTGGTCTAAAACTGAAGCATGAAAAGCGATTTTGCATAATATCCTCCCCCCACACACTTTAATAAACTACAAATAAAAAAGTCTTCTTGAAAAAGGTTTTGCATTGAAGGGGTTGGGGTACATTAAAGGTGATACGAACAATATCCGTGAGACAAAATGCAGAATGAACCAAAGGTTGATGGAAATGTGACTGGAAACAAAATGTGATCAACTGACCTGTTTTAGGAGACTAAAAACAGGGAGAGGGAGGAAAGAGGCAGTGCTGATGTTCCAGCTGTCATCCAGGAGAGATCTTACCTCGCATCAGGATCACTACAGGCTTAAAAAAAAAAAAAGCAGACACGCAGCTCATGTGAATTAGAACTGGTTCTGATGCAATAATTCAGATTTACAACAAAGCCACATACTAATAAAGCTGACCTGTTTTTAGCTAGATTGCATTTAAGAACCAAAATAGCCAAGTCCATTGCAGTATTGTACAACGTAAATGATTTATTTAATGATAAAGCTCTGTTTATATTATATAATGCAATAATTGTTCCACACTTGATCTACTGT